ATATTGTAGTCTCAAAAAAGAGCCGAGGTCCATCTTCTAAGCTATATGTTAAGCCTCTTCTAGCGAGGTTCCAAGAATGGCCATGTGGCGGCCATGTGGTAAGCGAACCCATGTTCACACTCCACGTCATCCCACCCATGCGGCAATTTTTTCCGAACCCCCATAGAAGGCTGAACCCTTATGGCATGGTCGAACCTCATTTATGAGGCGAGACAATATGAGGCATTGCAGAGGATCTTCCGTACAAGATTTTTTTATAATTGATTGATGCGACCACTCAGCAGCCATTCTACTAAGCCAAGATGTCAAGTCTACTCCCTACATGTCAAGCCTAGAACTGCAAACGGTCATAACATTAAATGCATATGACAAGGCGCCTCAACTGCTAGGATGAGGCCATGTGTCTCTTTATCCAAAGGTTAGTATTTTCCCTCTCATATTATATAAGCTCATACATTATATCATTTGAAAGTTATGCACTTTTATACTCTCAACTATAACTTTGGTCTCATATTACTCTCTCTGCATTCATACTCTGGAATCTGAACCTCTTATATCGTAGCTCACATCTTTAGCACGTTCCACACCCAAATACTTACTCACAAAGCTAGTTACTAACAAATATTTAAGACTTCACAATACCACAAGGATCAGAATCAAAAGGCTAGTACTGCCAATAATCAAACCACTGCTCCAAAATGCAAGATGGTTCGTCTCAGTTAACGACCATTGTTATCTATATCAACAGTTGTATTAGGCCACAAAAAAAAGAGACCGTGTGACAAAATCTACACCAATTATGCTTTCATAAAAGTTAACAAAGATTTGAGTGAGTATGAACTTAGTAACCACTTTTAAGCAATCAACATAAATGTATAAATAAACAGATATGCATATATATACATATACATCTCTGTTAAGATGATTAATAATGTCGTTCTCCTCAGTAGATGTTCACCTGCCAGTTTTAGTTTGAAGTGGCCAGGAGCCATCATCGAAGCCACTGGATAAAACTTTCTGCAATTGAACCCTAGACACACCAAATTCAAGATCAGTCATAGAAAAAAATATCAAAAAATAAAAGTGAACATTCGGTCCATAGAATATATTTAGGGGCTTACTTTCCACTGCCAATGAAATCGTCATGAGACACAGTATTGCTATTCCATACTAAAACATTCAACTCCCGTAGCCCCTCTATCAATGTAAACACGAATTTCTCTTGAAACGTTGGGTTTTTACCTCCATCTACAATTTAAAAAAAAAAAAAAACCTGAATTAATCAAATGCTTGAGAAAAATTGTAATTGAACTAAATCGTTCCAACATCATACATTATATCCTATACAATTTCCCAGTACCTGTACAGGTTCTTGTACGGTATTTCGTGCTAGCATATTCAACACAAACGTAGGGATCTTGCCTTGAAATCCATTCTGTGTTTTTCAATTTGGTACAACCAACAACTGCAAAATCCCAAAAAATATACTAACAAGTCAAGGTAAAAATCCATGTAGGTTAAATAAGATAAATAATAATCAACACATAATTGGACTTTTGAAATGAAACCCAAAATCAGAGTCTAAAAACTAAAAAAAAGTATGTTTCAAACTCAATCAATTTACCATCTTAACAGAGTGCTTTTAAGTTAAAATTTCACACAGCGCCTACTTTCTTGACAAGATTGGCCATTAACATCGCTCCAGAAACTTGATAACTCAATAATAAGTTAATAACTAAGCCCGTGCTTCTATTCTTCTAAAACAATTAAATAAATATATGTGCGCAAGAAAATTAAGGGCGAAATCTGTACCCGTAACTTCGAGAATTCGACCTTGGATACCAGAAATCGACATGGAAGAGAAAATAGAAAACAAATTTGAAGACGCTGGATCAAAAACCCACTTTTTATATAGAAACAGATCAAACTACAAAGTCTGTGTTCGTGGATTATTTTATTTTATTCCAAATCTATGTGTTCATTGGTGGTTTTAAAATATTGGTGGAAGATTCAATGTGTTATATGAATGTTGACTCAGAACTCGGGACGAAATTGGACCTAGTCCAATCGACATATTATAAATTTAAGACTAATGAAATGGAAAACGCGTTACTTGCGTTTTAAAATAAATTTTATTAATAAAAAAATAATTTTAAAAGGTATACGGTGACTTTGATTAGTACGGCAGAGTCTATTCAAAGCCAATTATTATTGTAGCAAAAACATATTGGAGTTTCTAATCATAGATATTGCATTATAGTTGAACTGCACAAACATCTCGAGCTTAGCTGTAACTATTTAAACATTATTCGTTTTTTAACATGATCCATCATAGAGTGGAGATATGGACGTAAATGATTTTATTGGATCAAATATAATATTTTATGTATTTAAAATCTGTACTTCTTCTTCTTCTTCTATTGATGCAATCTTTTGTCCATATCAGGATCAACATATCTAGTCTATGTCCGAGTCTACTAAAAACCTAATAGAAATTAAAAATTGGATCATTTATCATTCAAATACACATTTTTATTGATTAAAAATGTATACTTTTCATTTGCATAACAAATTTACAATCTTAACATGCAAAATTCCCATGTTTTCCCTTATCAAATACTCTCAACCACCCATTCCAAATGTAGTCATTATGCATAAATGAGGGTAAAATGGACAATTTCCCATCTTCAAAAGCTGGAAAATGGACCAAATTTCAAACACGGGCCATGATTATTTGAATGATCAATTGTGAAATTGGCACAATCACGCCCAGGCAGGCGCCTAATCTTGGAATTATGAACCCTCAATCTTTAAAAGTGAAATCCTCGATTCTCAGTTTATTTAATTTTATAAATTTAGATCCCACCATATCCACCAATATGAACATTAAAATCATACGCGACTTTCGTGTGACTTGAAGCGGGAGGGCATAATCATCAAATCACTTAATATTTATCTTTAATTACAAAAAGTCATCCAACTTCAACGTCTATATTGACTTTTTTTTTTATTTTATCACATGGGGACAAAGTTCGCAAATTTAAATAAGTCGAGAGCTCAAAACCTCATTTTCAAAGATATCACTCGTAAACATACCAATTGAAAGATTGAGGGTTGAATTTTAATTTTTATTTCCAGGGCTGCGTAACGACTTGAATACGCGTGAACTGATTAAACTGGGACAATCAGCATCATTTCGCCTCCAGTATCGCTACAGAGAGGAAGACAGTACAATCTCTTGAATATTCTTTTAATATATATATATGCAACTAGTTATATAATATTCAAATTGATCTTATCACTTGAAAGATTCTGAAATTAAAAAAATAATATAAGATAAAAGAATATGAATAAGGAGATAATAGCAATCCGGAATTTATTCAATGTAACAAGTTGGTTTGCAGCCTGTTTATTTTTAAAGACTCAGAATCAACCTTTAAAATTTGTAATTAAGTCCCTGTTTGGTGTAAATTAAAATATCAAATTAAAATCAACAATTAGTTTTAATTATATAATTTATAGGATTCACAACTTTTTTAATCACGCATTTAATAATAATAATAATAATAATAATAATTTTTTAATCTACAAAAACACTTATTTTAATCTAAACCAAACAGTCATTAAATAACATAAATTGGAAAGAGGAGAAACACAACTTTTCATGCTTGTCAAATTCTAATTGGTGATTCATTTCGTCCATTGAATTTATTCACACACCAATATCCAGACAATCACAACGTAAGAATGAGGAAATTGTGTTAAAAAGACCAAGTCTATGTTTGCACGGATTCTTTAAAACTCATTTTTTCTCAAATTTATTTTTAATAACAAATTTCTTCCAATAAAACAATTTTACACATGAATCGTAGCTTTTTTGGACTTTAAATTAGACATTCTCACACACAAAAAAAAAAAAAAAATCACTTCACAAAATTTAGCCCCTGTTTGATAAAACCTAAAATACAGAATTTTATCAAAGTTAAAGTCAACAATTAATTTTAACCATATATTTTATGAAACCCACAACTTTTTATTTACACATTTCATTGCAGTTTATCAAAATCTGTTAAAAATTTAATTTTAATTTCCATCAAATAAATGCTTATTTTCCAAAAATCTACACCAAAGATGCCCTCAATGAGAGGGAGGGAACGAAAACGAAATTCACGTGGAATATATTTACCATCTTTATCTTTCCTGCACCCCTTTTCCATCCATCACGTTCCTCATGAGGATGAGGAGGGAAAGAAGGTGGGACCACAGTATTAATGAAGACAATGAATTGGAGAAGGGATACTTGAAAAAGTTGTATTAAGCACTTGTTTGAGACACGTTAAAATTTTCATTCTCATTTTTTCATTCATTTTTAACCACACATTCTTCAATAAAATAATATTTTTCATCACATCAATAACTTTTCCTTCTTTTTCAACCACACATTCTCCCATCAATTTACTATTTCAAAATATATTATTCCAAAATAATGTAGCTCAAACCAGAAGGTACCATTAAAATAAGACTTTCAAAATTTGCCAATAAATTGTTTGAGTAAACCAAGTCAGAAATTCATTTGGTACATCATTGACTATGCTAACTCAATTTCCTAGTAGCTCACCCCAGCACATGGTCCACTTGGAAAAACAAAATGCAATTTGATTTCAGTGTAAAGGGATCCAAGTTGGGGCATATAATTTCTAATCAATCACACTAGCATACACGTCATAACATTGGAATAGATTACTAATATGATGATCACACCAAATTGATACAGCATGATGAGTTAAAACAACCACATTTCCATCACTTTATTGAAGAAATAAATAAAATCAACAGTAACCATGGAGTTATGCAACCATAGTTGATAGATCCAGCTCGACTTCTAAGAAATCGATAGTCCAACAGAAATGACACGATTAAGTCGTCAAAAACAAGATTTTTGAATATTCACAAGTATTATATACGGATATCGTGCAAATACATCATGAGCATCAAGTCCCCTAATCACTTTCATCATCCTCATCATCTCCAAATGTGAAAACAGATGCATCAGCAGCCATTGCCTTGAACTCACTTACCACTACTGCTGAGTTTTCAACCGCATCTTTCTTCGGCAGACTATGCAAGGACCCTGCATTTCCTAGAGAGACTTTTTCCGTCTTGTCTGCCAAGTTTGCAACTTGCTTCAGGTCCAGTTTATTGTCAGGACGAGAAGCTGTTGTGTTATCTGTTCCACTAGTTTCAGGAGCTGCTTGAGTTTGCCTAGTTTTCGATGACCCAGTTTCCTCGGCCTCATTGTCAGAGAAAACATCATCCTTCTCTTGATTTCCGGAGTCTCTGTTCGATTTTGTTGCAGCTGCAGCCTCATCAACAGGAGTAGGAGGACCTGAAACTTCAATCGGGGTACTAGCAGTGGCTTCTGATGGAGGTCTTGCTGGAACAGCAGCGTCATAATCCACAAGCACAACTTCAACTTGGAAACCCGGGGATGGTAGTTTTCTCTGTGCAGAAGTCCAGAAAGAAAAAATATAAATTATGCTGTGGCTAAAAGAATACGAACCAATAATTTGAAATAAGCCATATAAAACACAAAACTTGAAAAGAGAGGATAACAGCAAAGTCCAAGTGTCTGGAAATATCAACGTTAACTTCTTTTGCCATTACTAATTTACTATTGGTTATATTTTGGAGTCTCGGTGATAATAGTAGTAGAACTGTAATTATAGCTGGACCAAGAAGCTCACTGAGGAAGATATGAAAATATCAACACTAAATTTCCACGAATAAGTCACCCCAGTGGAGGTACTTGAATTCAGAACCTCTCGCCCTCAGCACTTATTTACCACAACTCCAAGGCCTCAGTGGCATCAAACTAATGTATGTGATGCACAAAATAGGGAAGTTTACCTTGTCAAACCCATCAAGATCACTAGTGTTTAGAACTTTGCGATTTTCAATCATTGTAGTGTTCAACCAGCTGATAATCAAGAAAAATAAAAGATATTACAAACAAAACCATAACAAGCTTTTAATATACAGAAAAAACAACACAAAAGCATGGAAATCTTCCTCCGACCAGCAATTGTAATGGAAGGGAAGATAGATAATTAATTTACACATTTATCAAAAATACTTCAGTATGGTTGTATATTATTATACCAATAGAAGTCTCCTTGGCGATCATGAAAGTGAATTTTGAAATCGCCAGCCAGCTCTGTCAGTCCAGGCTCCCCAGGAAGAGCAAAAACCATTATCCCCTTCTTCGGTGCACTAAACCAAAAATCTTCAGGCTGCATAAAACCCCCGAAGAACACTCAGTTAAACTTCTTCGGGACAAAAATATCCCAAAAGCTCCAAAAATAGGCATATAATTATTAATGATCTGATCCTCCAATGGCTCAACATGGAAGTTATCGCAGTCAATAACCCTTAAAATAAACTATTGTGGTGAATTCGGTGACGATAATTGATCCCAACTCAAAGTCAAAAAATTTATAAAATCTTAGTATATTATTTAGACATCGGATTCGACAAAAACAAATATAAGAGCGCATCATATGGAGAAATAGTTATTATACCAGCTCGTAACACTAGCGTATAAAAAATAAAACAAAAAAATGATAGATAGTAAATAAATATTTATTTACATACATATGTTTATTTGTAGCCATTTAAAAATATATTCATCATAGCTAATTGATAACAAGAAAAAACCAACAAACTAAGCTTGGTCCTCAATAATTTTGAGGCTGCCTGAATGCTTTTTCACCAGCCCACTCGGCTGAATCTAATTGATAAATTATACATAAAATTATCTTATAAGCAAACAAAATTTTAATTCTCTCCAATAACTGTTTTGATTTTGTAGGAAATGGCAATGCAACTGGATAAGTTTATGGTATACATTAAAATTGGTAGAAACAAATGTGTAAGTGAATAAATCCAACTGAAAGACTTCGGATACCATTTAGCTTCAAATTATGGTTTAACTGAAATTCTTCAACTTATGGTTATCAATAGAATTTATGGTAATTAGTACACAAGGAAAATATTAATCAACATCCAATACCTTTTCAAAAAGCAAGGTTATTTTTAGAATAGAAGCCAAGGCCATTAAGTCCTTGGCCACATTTTTTAGGGGTTGATTGATGATTGAGTATTATTTGTTCTCTCTCTCTCTCTCCCTCCCTCTCTCTCTCTCTCTCTCTCTCTCTCTCTCTCTCTCTCTCTCTATATATATATATATATATATATATATACCATTGACAATTTTTATTTGTCCTAAAGGACTGGTGACATAGAATATTGTATAAGATAAAATGCCATTCCACAATCCAACCACAATCTGTATATCAAGTTCACCTATCTCTATGTCCAAACAAATAATACTTGCACAAATTAGTAGCTAAGAGAACATTACTACTTACAGACCCTGACACTAACGTACCGACAGATCCTTGGTTCTTGGATGCTTTTTGGTTGAAAAGAGCACTCCTGCAATGAGCAAAGCACGTGTCTAGATAACATTGCAAACATAAAATGCACATGAAGGACAATCAAAAGTGAATATAGATGGCACAAGATGAAAAATTAGTAAAACAATGAATTGAAAGTAGAGCTCATATGCCAATGTTCGTGTTAATAACATGTATGCAAGTTAGAAGACAAACAAGGAAGTAGAACAGTACAAAAAGAGATGCTAACATGAGATAAAGATAAAAAAAGGACAAAAAACAAAGATGCAATTTACCATTATGATCAGATACTGTAATGGTTGGTCTGATCCAGTAGGGGCATCTATGAAGCCGGAAGCCTCTAAGCATGCACCTGCAACAATGGTACTTGATATTAATTGACAATCTACTAGACAAACCATGTTCTTCCTGTATCATCCTCAGTTCATTTTACATCCGATTCGCCTGTGCTAAATTATAAAGAAGAATACTGATGAGTTTTAAATACGAATCAAAGCATCAAATACCTGCGCCCAGGCTGGTTTTCTCCCTTGAAGTATGTCAAAATGCGTTCAAAATACTTGACATATCGCTACACAAAAGAACGACACTTATCAGATGTAGGAATCTCAAGAAAAAAATATATATGTTGAAAACAGTATGAACAATTACTCACGATCTGACTAGGCAGAACAAGCCCTTTCCCATCAACACATCTTTTCTGATTGTAATAATCAATAGACTCTTCAGCTGTGGGAAAGAACTGCAAGATAATCACAGTTATGCAAAATAACTATCACTAGGACTCATCTAAAAACAGTCAAAAGGCAATAAACAGTTAAGGGAAGAAACTATCATTTTCCTCAATGATCTTAGTGTAATTTAGAGTCAAGTGTCCACACCATATAGAGCATCTTCAAGAAAAATACATAAACCCCACCTTCAAGTACAGAAGAAGACTAGAAATCATCAGCCCCGTCCTTGCCATTCCAGCTTTACAGTGCACGACCACAACATTTTCTATATCCTCCTTCAACCATGAATATGCACTATGACAAAATGATATTATGAGCTGAATAGGAGGACAATTGTGGTCATCAAACGGAAAACTAGCCACCTGTAAAAGGAGAAGGAGAAGACGACAAATTATTTAAAAGCTATAATAAAAGCTTTACACAACCTCCATCTGGAAACATTTACTATCTAAACATTTCAAACTCTCACACATAACTCTATGTGGAGAAATTTCTCGAACTTTAAAAGCATATATGTCAAACTCATTATAGATAGACGGGGCAGTTTTACTTCATAATACCAGTGAAAATAATTGTTTTCATTCAAAAATTTAAGAGCATTCCATATGGAAGTGAAGATAACTTCTGAATTATAACTAATTTGACTTCTAGGAATTACATGACATTGATTGGAGTATAATGCTAATAAATCTTACAAATAGGCACCACATAAAGCATAGTGAAGGATTTAAGCAAAATGAAATAGTGACGCAACATAAACTAATTTTTTATTTCTTTCCATCCCAATAACATGGAAACTTAGCCTAGTCCAGTCACGCAAGAATCGTACTGTTTCATAGCTTGCAGTCAAAGCCTAACCTAATCAAAGCCCCACCGAACAACAGAAAGAAAAAAACCAAGACAGGAGGAAAAAAAAAAATAAATAAATAATGAAAAGTTGCATGCCATAAATGAAAGAAAAAAAAACTCAATATTAACACCATAAAGAACCCATAATTTCAGATTAGCAATAGAAACAGTTCCAAGAAAAATTAATAGCTCAACCCCTAAATCAATTAGAAAAGTGTATAGTAAGCGATGCAAGATTACGAGAAGAATATAAGGATAATAAGAACATTGAAATTGCAACAACCGCCATAGTTTAAATATGTGAGTCAAACAATCAAAAGAAGATATAAAATAAAGAAAAGCACACCTTTCCCTTAAACAGCGATGCATCGTACAATCTCTCAGAACAGAGATTGTAGACTTTGTATTTCCCCTGCATGATTAAAATCAAGCATCTCAGTCAGTTGTGGTACAAAATTGCAGAAAGTTAGGATCTATAGAAGCTAAGAACACTTGATAGTCATCACTAACTATTTAAACAATAGGAGGTGATAACCAATGTTGTGCCATACCAGATTTTATATTATAGTTGTAAAAAAATAGGCATTGGTAAACACTGCAATATCGACATTACCTGGTGATAAGTTTCAAAGAACTTGATTACTTCCTCCATGTGATTCCGATAAAATCCCTAGATTACATTTCCATTTAGTTCAAATTAGAATATTATTACAAAACAGTGATTAGCATACATCTGATTTTATAGAAATTTAATTCTGTACCTCAACATAGCTCAAAAAACCAGAGCTCATGTCACCAGCAGGGAAGCCCATGGCAATAATATTCTCTGTGATGTAAGTCATGTCTAAATCAAATCCTCCTTCCTAGAAAAACCGGAGGCAGTCAGAGCCACACATTAGTGGGTAAAAGTTCTCTGAAGTCTGAACACAAGATGTATCAGAAGTAAACTGCAAACCAACGTGAGCAAGACAACTTCAAAAAGGATCACATGATGCATCAACTAACACTTGTTTTAAAAATATTAAGCTTACAAAAGCATTTCTGCAAACATGTGGAAAGTATGGCCATGATAAATAGAGAAACTAGTCTCCAACCTTTAAATGGGCACTTGATGGTGGAGTGGAGACTGTTTGCATTTTCCTTTTCTTTCTCTTTGCTTATTTATTTATTTATTCATTTTAGTTATCTTGTTTACCCATTTTTCCTGACAAAATCTTTCAAGGGGCAATCAGATGGTTAGGACTTTTTGAGCAGCATTGATCAGCGGGTACACAAGTGCTACGAAAACAAAATGTTGGCAACCTAGATGTCAAGAAAAGTTGGTTGGAGACCCAAGTGCTTATTTAGCCCTTGTTTGACATCCATTTTTTAAGAAGTTGATTTGAAATAGTAATTGATGGAAGAATGTGTGGTTAAAAAGTAATGAGAATTTTTGGGTTTATGTGTAGTATTATTTTATTGATAGAATGTGTGGTTGAAATGAAGAAAGAGAAAAAAAATGAGAATGAGAATGAATATGCAGATGCAGGTTATCTCTCTCACCCACATAAAGCTAAGCCCTTGTTTGACACCCATTTTATGGAAGAATTTGATTTGGAATAGTGATTGATGGAAGAATGTGTGGTTAAAAAGTAAGGAGAATTTTTGGGTTTATATGTAATATTATTTTATTAAATTTTTGGGTTTATATGTAATATTATTTTATTAATAAAATGTGGTTGAAATGAAGAAAGAGAAAAAAAATGAGAATGAGAATGAGAATGAGAAAAAATGGATGTCAAACAAGGGCTTATTTAAAGGTTGGGAACTTCTGGTACTATTTTCCCACAATAATTCACCATATATTAGTTAATGATTGTTTAAAAACAAAAAAGAAAAAAAAAATTAGGCATCAAAACAGCAGTAAATAACCTGGTATCTTCGTTTATTTTGAGACACAACATGCCGAGCTTTGACCTGTACGGCCTTCACTGCACTCTTAGATGAATCAACAAACCCTTTAGTGATAGTTCCAATAAAACCTGGTTGTGCACTTGACAAGGACCCTTCAGAACCTTCATCTACTTGAGGAGATTTCGGTGCCTGAGGAGATTTCGGTGACAAGCGCAACCCAAGCCCACCAGCAACACGAGCAAAAGATGACTTCCCTGAATTTCCAGATGGTGATTCATCTTGGGATCCCACAAATGGCTGTGGAATTTTCAATTTTTTTGCCCACGAGGTGATGCCAGAAGTAGAGAATTTAGAAGGTGCATCGGTTGCTAAATTATCAGGAACAGATTCCACAGAAGTGGGCATTGCCATATCTGCAGTCTTGTTATGTGGTGGATTTGATAAATCAGAAGAGCCCAAATTCATTCCCTCAGCTCTGAGATATCAATAGCGTCCGATAACAGAAGTATTTAACGTGAAAGCACGAGTACCTCTCTGCAAACCAATTTTAATACATATTTTATCGATCTAACGATTTCAGAAAACAAAACTCACCAAGAGGCAAGAGATATAGTTGAACAAAATTATTCTTTGTTATTTTCTTTTATGATGAATAATTTGATCAGAAAAATATGAGGAAAGCCATACTAAGGTTCTTTAGATGTAAAACCTGCCAGGCAAAATTAAATTAGCTGCATCAAATTCATATAAAAGAAGGATTGTAAAATACAAATTTTCAGTCCTGAGGTAAACTTCAATTTCAGCATGGAGCAGGTAAAAATTGCATAATCTAGCATTTAGCAATACATATAAACATAATAAGCGCATGTTTGAGCACCATTTTTTTGCCCAAAATACATTTTGAAATAGTATTTTGTCGAAGAATGTGTGGTTAAAAAATAACGAAAAATTTTGGGTTTGCGTGTATATTATTTTATCGAAAAATGTGTGATTAAAAATAAGAAAGAAGGGCTAAATAAGTACTAATTGCTGTAGCCAAAATTGAGATATGATCTTATGAGTACTTCAAACTTTGCCTCGATCCACGAGATGACTAGAACGAGTGTAGATGCTCTAGTCTATAAGGTCATCAAATAATCGCACGAAAAAACCAAAGGAACTCATTTAGGAACTCATATATTTTTGTTGCAATGGTCACACAAAATAGATGTAGAAAAACTCTCCAACCTATAATGGATTTGATTTGCTGTTATCCAATCATTTCCAGAAAGTAATATTCAGTTGCATTATAGCACTCAAACTCCCAAAACACTGTAAATTCAGCTACTCCAGCCACTCATGCAATGAGTGATTAGTAACCTAAGCAATCAGCCCAATGATTGGTCAGTGAGCCGTTCATACTGTTATTGTCGATGTATTAGAAGAAATACAAATTAAAGTACACCAAGACGTTAAATTTCACTTCAAAATGCATATCTAGAGAAAATTCCAATAGTTAATTTAATAGACAAAATTATACTATTATTATACTATAAGCTTGACTATAACCTAATTTTTTTCCTTTTCCCACATATATACGCAATATATGTGACTAACAGCAAGTAGCCTCAATCCCCGAAACAAAAAAAATTGAATATGCGGAGCTTCGTCATTTCTCTTTTACGAATTTCAATTAATTTCTCGCAGATCCAATATACACACCATTTTATCACTGGGCAAGAGAAGAAAAAAATTACAAATACTTGCCTATTTAAACTAATCTTGGATTAATACAGACGACCTTAAACTACGATTCTGTGTGTTTGCGCAAAGACGGCGGAGGAAAGAAAGTTTCAAACTCACCGGAAAGCAGAATCAACGGCGGCGAAGGTGGGTGTGGGGGCAGTAGATTCCCTGGATCGACGTTGTCGTCTGTTTATCTTTGTTTGCCGTCGGGTTGTTCCTAGAGCTTAATGGGCTGGTGTTTCATTTTCTCTGTATTTTCTCTCAAGTACTGCTCTCCTTTCATTTTCTATAGGGGCCCCATGATATATTACGTATTTACCCATTGGTCTTCATATTCTTTCATTGTTTATGAACTCCCATTCCCATATGCGCTAGCTTGGTATCAATTAAGATTTGGATTAAAATTTAAATCAAAATTAATAATTAATTTTAATAATACATTTTTTTTATTCACAACTTTTCTATCATATATTTTAAAATTTTTATCATTATATACTAAAAATCTGATTTTAATTCACGTCAAATAGAGGCTATATTGCGTAATCCATTTGGGTAAATTAGGGCTCGATTCTCCAACCTTTTACATGGTGTGAAGGGAAATTTTGGATCTTGGTAAATCTAAGTTTCCAATTGATAAGACACCTTGAATATTTGACGAGTGATTAGCATTGGCATAATTCTTTGAAATAAATGGGATTGTATAAAACAACTTTTTACCTCGTAATCACTTAATCTTGTGATAATAATTTTTTTGTCAATCACCATCACCATCACGAACATGAAAATTGTATTAATAGTAAAAATTAAATAAAATAAAAGATATAAGAGGGAATGTACAAAGAGACCTCCAATTCAAGAAAATACTTAAATTAATCATGATTAGCATGATCATCTCTAAGAAAATACTTAAATTAATCATGCTTGTCCAATAAATTAAAATGCATCTCAAGTTAAGATTAACACATTCTTTAATAAAATAATATTTTTCATCACATCAATAACTTTTCCTTCTTTTTAAACTACACATTCTCCATCAATCTACTATTCCAAAATACATTCTTCCAAAATAATGTGGCTCAAACACACCATTGTTATCCCATCTTCCATTAAGCCAATACATCCTACATAGTATAAAATATATAAATGCAAGTCGATTGATGTATGGAAAGGTGAGACACATTACAAATTTATGAAATACTTGATGGATGGATTTGGTGATTAAAGTAAGTGTTGAATTTTGATACCCAATGAATCCCGAGTTATGATGTAAACGTTGGATTAAATTTCATAGACATTGGCCAATAAATTAAATTATTACTAACAATCAAGCCCAAAAGCTCGACCCGAAAATAACGTGAGTCATTAAAAGTAACTTAAACAATTAATATCACTTACAGCCCATATATATTACCTCTTGGATGACTTTGAATCTTGACCTATTTAGTCTTTTATTGATCCAACTAAAGCATAACATAGCCTATATATATGGTGTCTTTGCCCTATCCATTTAGTATTTAATTTGTGTATGAAAAAGTGAGAAAAACGTGACCTTTTGGAGAAGAAAAAAGTGGCTGCAATAGTGAAGAAAAATCAGCGATTTCCTCTTTTATTTTGGTTTCCATATCGTGTTTCTTCATTGATTTTTCTCATGCCATTGTGACTACAAAATAATTGCGAATATAATTAATATATTCGATACATTGAATTATATTATGATTATCAAATTTTATCATTTCTTTCTTCTTATTACGTATGTTGCATCATTCAAGTCGTCAAGAAAGACACAAGTAAGTTCTTTTGTCATCACGAGCAAGATCAGAATATGAAACGTATGTTTTTGTCAAATTATTTTATTAAAACTACGAAACTATTTACAAAGATACAATTTGAAATGCTAATTTGTCCAGAGCTAGTAAGGATCTAAACAGCTTAACAAGCATGAACAGATCACATTCCAAGATTCCCTTCCACAATTTTTGAAAGTAGCTCTTCAAGAAATAAACTTTCATCCCCAATTTATAATCTTTTCAATCACCCACATCCCAAATAATTTGATAGTTAATCACTTGCTGCTGACCTACCAACCACTTTGCAGACGAGCCCAATTCGGCACAGCAGGGCTTCGTTTTGATGCTTTTATGCCCAGGGGGTTGCCCTTGCTCTGTTAAATAACGTTACGAAGAAAATTTCGGAATAAACTTTGATAAAAATATTATAATAGTTCTTGCAAAATAACGGACGGGTGGGGGGAATGATAAAAGAAAAAATAGTAAATTTACCATCAGGCAAGTCCCGACTTCAATGTCACAGACAGGATAGTCGTGTGGGCAGCAACTGTAGTGGTCATCACAGCAGGTAGCAGACTCGAACGGGCAGCATCCCCAACCGAAGCATAAGTCTCCAAACTGGTACACGCAGCAGCAGGTGCTTCCCTCGGGGCATGTGTAGTAATCATCACACACTGTGGGAGGTTTCACGGGAGCTGGAGGGGAAGGGCCGGGATTAGGAGGGTTCTGACCGATCTTGATGGGGTATGATGCCTCCATTGCAATTCCACACTTCCCAGTGGTGGTATTAGCCACATTGCGATGAAGCCTAATGTATCCATTCTCTCCCCAACTTGGACCCCACGAATTCCTCACGATCCAATAATCTACTCCATTGTCTGTACCATATCCAACGGCAACTACACCGTGGTCTAGTTCTGTTCCACAGATTCCGGTAAAGATGCCCTACATGAACTCATCATCGTCAATGTAAAGATATAGTCAATAAGTGCATGTTTGGTATGCAGTACTAAAGAAGACTACACATTAATAATTAGATTGTAACTTAGTCCACTCTATAAAACATATTTGGAAGTTTTTTTAATCATGCATAGACAAAAGAGCACGACCATATCGTACCGATTGATAGAGTTGGAAAGCCCTGCCCCCAGCTTCAATGGCAACACTAACTGGTTGATGTGCCACGGCCTTCTTAAGTGATAGCTCATCATTTTGCGGAACATCTTCATAACCATTGATAGAGACAACCCGAGCATTTTTCTAAAGGAAAGGCAAAAGTAAATTAGTTGACTGACCAACCAAAGGCTTGTGTTTATCAGGTGAAAACAAAGTTCAAAGTAATTGAAAAAAAAAAAAAAACTGATACCCTCTTCACACGATTTCATTACAACACATACCCGAGATTGGTCACACCTGCCATCTAGTGCTTGGTAAGGGTAATCTTCTTCACTATCAATGCCACCATTTTTAGTGATGAAATCAAAGGCATAGTCCATAAGACCCCCATTACATCCCTGGTTATACATCTTATCACAATCAACCAGCTCTTGCTCGGACAAAGTTATCAGCTCACCTGTTACAATCTTATTTATTCCTTCAACAGCAGCAATAGTTGAGAATGCCCAGCAACTCCCTTCATTAAAGAACAACTTATGTAAGTAATATTTCTCTTTACTTTGAAATCGTGCTGTAAAACGCTAAATAATTTTACCAATAAGAACTAAATAACTACAAAGGAACTGCTGCAAAAACTTGAACCGTTCCAACACTCCCCTGCACCAAAAATTTACATTGATTTTTATTTTTTTTGTTTGAAGTTCCGCTGAAGAATTAAGAACTATATGCCATGCTCAATTTCTCAAGAATTATTTAAGGTATTGCATATTAGGAAGACGGTAAGATAATCATCTACTAATCTTGCAAAGCTATCTGTTTAAACCAAATTATGAAGATTGGTTGCATGTATTTTGGCTAAATAGTCATTTGATTGGAAATGTAAAATGTAAGACTATTATATGTCATACCTATGTGAAATAGAAAAAGACCATAATCACAAGCAAGCACCAATATAGAGAACTTCATGCTGTTAAAGAAAACAAAACTAACCACAGTGTCCTTGATTCTTGACCGGAGCGACGGCGCCTTTTTCTCTCCAGTCAACAAAATCCGGCAACTCCTCACCGGCCTTAAACCGATCACTCTTCCCGGCCTTCACCGGCCGAGTTTTCCTCTCCATCCTACCTCCAACAAACATGGATCGGTACTCCTCGTTTGTCAAATCAGCAAATTGGTTCAGCCCAACTTTATATGTACGGTCTACAGAATTATGCTCCTCAATAAACCTCAAATTATCCTTAAAAATCTCGAACCGCTTCTCCTTCTCGCCCAAAGCATTATACACCTTCCCATGTTTCACAAGCCACGATTCGTACAACGCCGTGATATCATCCTGGGAACCCATGTTATGATTTTCATTGTATTTCACAATGGACATGTCCAGGGCGGCGGAAAGGGAAAATAAGAGGAAAAGAATGCAGAAAAATGGTTTGGGAGAAGCCATTGTTGAGGGGGTTGGGGTGAGAGAAAGGGACAAAATGGGGATTGTCGGGATTGTCCCAACTGTAAAAATGAAAATAGGAAGGGGAATGGGGATTCATGAAATTGAAAGGAAGTATTTATAGATTCCCAATCCGCCATGGAAATAAGAATATGAAGTTCAGGTGGTGTAGCTAAAAGTAAGGCAATGTTTGAGGCAGGTCTCTTGGTTACGAATCCAGATTATTGATTATAAATTAATTAGCCTAATCATGTTTCATGAATTATATAACAATCATTTCAAAGAATAAAAAATGTTTTGAAAAATTTTATTTTCAAAAGAAATTAACCAGTAAAATCGTGTAAACTGAAAGTTTCTGAGCTTCATTTTCATCATGCAATGTTATTGATTATTTTCACTGTATAGTGATTATAATAATGTCAAGAAAAGACATTTAACGTCAAAAATTGCATGATCTTCATGTGAATTATAACAATTCATAACCCTATTTAGGGATTGTTCGGTTTCATAATAAGCTATTGAAATTATAATTAGATAGAAATGAGTGACAGATAAATCAGTAATAGTTGTGAATTTTACGAATGTATGAGTAAAATTAAAATTAAAAATTGATTTTAATGTTTAAAATATAAGAATATTATAATGAAATACAAAATGCACTACAAAACTGCTCAATCATTGAAAAAGAGGGAAGTAAGTGGCGACAACTTGTTCATTTGTCTCGGTTTTATTTTCTCCTCCTATAGTTTATAAAGCGAAACATTAACTTTAATCTCATATTTTATAGACTCACAAATACTATTCACTTATTCATTGAAAAGTAGAATTTTAATAAAATAAAATGAAACATGAAGGGAGACCAGGATTCAATTTTGATAAAATGGGTAAACACGCACTTAAAACCCATTATACGGTGGTTAAAAGAAAAAAAAAAAAAAAAATACTATTTCACTAGGCGTTTCTATAAATGTCAATAAACTAAGTTTAGTAAAAGAATTTATGCAGTTAACTTCAAAAGAAGACTAAATTCATCACTATTTTTGTTGTTTTCTAGGCAGTTCTATTGTTTTTATGGTTAGATTTTAGAGTCGTTTACGATATTGGTGAATCTTATTTATGCGGGGACAAGAATAACTAAGTGGATAACGAAATCATGACTTTCACATATATGTTACTCGATCTACCCATGTGATATGATTTTTTGACACAAGTGTCTAATTTAATGTCGGTATGTTTCACATTTTGTATCAATTTTTTAGCTAAATTATAGCAGTTATACAATTGTGTGTGTGTGAGTGAGGAGCTTTTATGTTTGACTGAATTAAGTGAATTATCAATTTTGTCCTTCCACATAAAATCAGTCTTTGATTAAATAATGGCAACTCCGTTATTTTGCTTGTTGTGCAGTTAGCATTTTTTGCAAAATTGGGCCCCACCGACCTTTTAAACGGTCAAAAAATGTATTAAAAGTTGGCCAAAATGTCTCCCAGACGCAGGTGTTTGAATCTCATTTTAATGAGAATAGAATTTTTGAAATAGTGATTGATTAAAGAATGTGTGGTGGAAAAATGATGAAATTTTTTAGATTTGTGTGTATTATTATTTTATTTGAAGAATGTGGTTGAAAGGAAGAATGAGAAAAAAATGAGAATGAGAAAAAAAGAGTGTCAAACAGGAGCTTAATGTCTTGATGCATCATTAAAACTTTCTTTATTATTTATGCTAGTATTATTTGATCTTCCCAAATCCCATGTGATGTAAATTCCTTGTAATTGAGTTAGCTTGTAATATTGTGTTTGACAAGTAAAATAGTAGAACGTTACTTTATTCAAAAATGGCGTCAACTTTGTCAAGAAAAGAATGGTGTCAAATTACAGTTTGTAATCTCGAGTTTTTAGTAACTTTTAGATTATTCTAGATGATATATGTTTTGTGCATACATCGAATGAGCAACAACCTAAGAATGCAGGAGACGAATATTAATTGGCTCCTATTTTATTTTTGTCGAGATCGATATTAATTACTTTCCCGAAGTGAGGAAGAGAAGATAATGACACTAAGAAAGAACATCTTCGTGGAGAAAGATTTGACTTAAAGAATACGGCAAATAAAAGATAAAGGCAGAGGTTTCTTATTTTGTTTCATTCTTCCTCTTGTCCCTCGAACAAAAATCCTTGATCAACTCGTCTTTTTTGAATTCCACGACCGGTACAAGATATAAAGCGGTTTGGTTCTCAATTGCATCAGTTATTTTTGTAATATTGACTTAAAAAACTTTAGGTCTACTTACATGTATCTAACATTTTTTTTCTTCGAATCAATTCGTTGCAACTTAGTTGGGCCAACAAGTATCAAAAGCAGAACCATTAAAATCCAAGATTTAATTATTAAGGACGCTCCTCACTCAAAATGCTTAAGTCCCATGAGTGAGAGAGTGAGAGAGAGGGAGAGATGTTTTGGCAATTGACAAACGTTGTAAATAATAGCATGCAACATTGTTGGTGATAAATCAGAGTTTTTGGTAAATTTTGATAAAAGTTGAATTGTATAATTGAAACATTGATGAAAAATTCTGAAATATGTGAGATATTAAAATTAATTGTTAACTTTAACTTTAATTTTTATAAAATGTTTATAATTTTGTTTAGGGTGGGATAAAACTTTCGAACCGAATTGAACCAAGCGGATCGATTCAATTCTTCTTCGGTGGGTACTAAATTCGAGAACCGACGAGTTTAGTTTCATTCTTGGTTCTAGATCAAGAATCGAATAAGAATCAAATCTCCCTAATTTTTTTTATATTGAATAAGTCAAATTCTTATTATTTTAAAAAAATTGTCAATTAATTAATTGACTAACAGTAAGTGCCCCATGTTCCAACTCACAATGGCCAAGCTCAACTTGAGACCAAAATATTTTTTTCCAATAAATTTCAGCTCAAACCCAACTTCACTTCTCAATTCACTTAAAACTCACTCATTTTGTCATTTAGGTTTAACTTTTGCCCTCGTTTTTAGTCGCTTCTCTCTCACAACTTCATCTTTGCTCCTCAAGATCCACACAAACCACACCATTAAATCTTGTATTTTTAAGCATTTCTATGTCCTTTTCATCCTTCTTCATTGGCAAATGGATCTTATAGACAACTTCTCGTTTGTATTTTTTTAAATTATATTATGTTATTTTGTAAGAGTTAAAATTTAAAATGTCATTGATTGTAGTATAATTGTAAATGTTAAAAAAATTAATCATGGTATTGAACGGAATCCGATTTGATTTCATAATTAAATTTGGTCTCATCGATTTCGTTTACTAATATCCAAAAAAATTAGTTGGATTGGGAATAGAACACGTCCAGGCCCAATTTTGTTTACAAGCTGGGAAAAAAAAGTGAAAATTACACCCAACCCTATGTTTTAAGATCCAACTTAAAAAATCAGGTACAAAGTTTATTTATTCAAAAATCAGATATTTTTAATTAATTAATATATATGAAATAAATATTTTTACTAATATAACAATTCAAAACTAATTTGTCTACCTCACATCACTGTTCCTAATTCTCTCATCTCTCCATCTCTTTCTCTCTCTCTTCAACCCTCCTCTCCCATCTCATTTCTCTCTCTATCCTTCATGTCGTCTTCTCTAATGAAAATGCCACCACCGCCGTCAGTGCTGTGACGCCACCATCGTCACCGCTGCTGTGGCGATCCATCTTCCTGACTTCTCAGTCTCCATTCTTCTCTCTCGTCAATCATCACGATCGTGAGCCACATTGGGGGCTACAACGTCACGATCGGAGCTGCAGCGGTGATGCCCACAACTGGTAGCGCCACCGCAGTGGAGCTTCTCTTCATGGGAGCTGCAAAGGATTTTAATCTGATTTTGCACACCATACAGTGGTTGGTTTTTGCGCAAATCTGACTTGAAAATGGTGGTTGTGACGGTGGTTGAAAATGATGGTGTGAATGGTGGCGATGGTGGAAGTGGTGACGACGACAGTGAGGTCGTGTGTTGGCGATTTTGTATCTGATTTTTTGGTAGATCTTTTGGGTGAAGGTGGTGGTTGTGGCGGTTTTTGGGCTTTTTTTTGTTTATGTTTGTGAGTTTCAGATTAGAGACGGTGTTCGTGGGGGTGGCAATGAGGTGATGGTGGTTGTGGGGTGTTGGCGATTTTGTATCTATTTTTTTTTTTTTATATCTGGCTGTGGTAGTAGTGGTTTCTAGCCGCGGTGGAGGTGGGTGATGGTGGTGTATCTGGTGGTTGCATAGGTACTATTGGTGTAGTGGTGGCGGTGGACGATGGTGGTGATGCTGTTAGAGACAACGTTGAATTGGTGGTCACACCTGTTGACGGTGGTCAAAGATTAGACTAGCTGTGACCGCATAATGGACTATCCATGACCTTAAAATTCGACAATGTGTGACCTATAAAATTATTGATTTGTAACCTCGAAATAATCAGTGACTTCCAAAAATTTTGATATGTGATCGATAAACAAATTGTGACCTAAAATTTTTCAATTGTGACCTCGAAATAATTCGTGACGTATAAAATTGTTGATTTGTGACTTTGAAATAATTCGTGACCTATAAAATTTTTGATTTGTGATCTCAAAAATAATCCGTGACCAATTAATTATGTACCTGTGACCATTAATTGTATAATTATGACACCGTTATATTTAATTAATTAATTAATAATAAGTTTTAATAAAAATCTGATTTTTGAAATTCCAAACTTTTTTTCTTAATTTTGAAATATGAGATGCTTATCCTCTTACTTATGAATTTTCCCCCCCAAAAAAATGTAAACCCAAAATCTAATTATTGCATAATGGTTGTAACTTGAAAATTAGTATATGAAACTTGAAAAATGCATAAATATTACACTTATGTTTAACACGCAGTATTCAATAATTGGACATTAGCTCACATAATTTTAGACTGTCAATATTATTCAATGATTCCCATTAAACATTTTTAGCCAGTTCTAATCAAGAGAGGAATAAAAGAGCTATCAGCGATGCTTTCTTAAATCATCTTCAATGTATGAAAATTGATTCAAGAGGAGACGATGAAGAACCAAAATTAGGGCAAAATTGAATCTCAGTAGCATTCATTTTTCCCACCACAAATGGCCCAACAAGTCTATAGAGTCCAAATTTTCTCTGCACAGAAATTCTAAACTGCACACACTCTCCAATTCTCTGTGCTGTAATATCGCCGTCGTCCTCCTAGCGCTGACGGGGAGTGTCTGCTCGGCCCATCTATCTGTTGATATTGTTGATCAAAACAATAAAAATGAGACTTGGAATGAGAAATGGATCTAATGGCTGCATGAGTGAACCATGGAGCCGCATAGGTTTGTACCATGCGGCCGCATGGTACAATGGTACAAATTTTCAACCGTTTTTTATCCGTTGTGGTTTTGAATTTGGTGTCTTTTGAAGATATTTTGGCACTATTTCGTACACATTTTCTGAGGGCTATATATAGATAATCCTATTTCTTGTAAAGATGTTGAAAAAACATAACAAGTATAAGATTCATTCCAAAATAAAAAGAAACAACTTATTTCTTTGGGTAGAAATATTTAGTGCTTTGGTATTTCTACAGCAAGGCTTGATTAATCCTCCAAACTATTTGTCGGAAGACCTTTAAGCACCAAATGTGTATCGGAGAGGGGTAAATATCATTTGAGGACAACATTTATCATGTCTGAGCCTTTCATGTCATTAAAGTTCTTGATTACTTGCATCGGTTACTTTCAAGTCTTTATGTGGAAGATCAAAGTCTATAAAAGGAAAGACTACAGTATTCGTAAATATGAGATAAGTTTATCATCTTGGTGTGCTGTCGTAGGCACCCAAAAATAGTTCTTAAACCTCTAAAACTAATGTAGTAATGGAAGTAAAGGTCCATCACACGAAAAGTACGCAATTCAACAGTTTATGCTTCTTATAACGATTGGGGGGGGTTTGTTTTTAACGACATCAATTTTATAACGAATAACAATGTAAATTAACGAGTTGTATTAGACCAATGAAAGGAGTCTTGATCAAAGTCAACTTCCACCATTGAAGATTTATAACTATTCATCAATCCACAAAGAATAATCAACCTTCATTCACAATATTCATCGATGGAATAAATTCATATTTCTCCTTAATTTTAGTTAATCAGAAATCAGTGTTCTAATTAACCATAATTATCAAATAATCTCAACCCAGCGCTAAAGATTCANAAATAATTACGGATTTGAGATTTAATTTAGCTATAGATTGCAATATATGAAAAACTAATAGATCTCTTAGCAATCAAACATGACAATCATAAAATTATGCAAAGAAGAATATTCAATACTGAAAATATAAATTAAACAATAAAAATATGTGGATCTCACAGTTATAATGTTTTTCCAAGGCTTCGGTATCCTCCAATCAAGCACCAAGAGTTAGTGACACATGATATATCTAAGAAAAATAAACAGAACATAGGTTGGAGGCATTTTGGTATGTTTTTCGTTCGTTCTGGGGTTTTAAAATATGTATTTTTAGTTGTTTCTATAGGTAGTTGACTTAAATTAAGAAACCAAAATTTTTTTCCCGATTTGGCCTAGGTGGGCGCCCAGTAGAAAATGGGGCAGCTGCCCATACAAAATATTTCATTTCTGTATTGAAATTCAAGGTCGGGCGAGCGCTTGGGCGGGCGCCCAGTACACAGCTGGATATCTTTCAGTATTTTGGTCATATCTTCCTCTCTCGATATCTGATTGAGTCGATTCAAAATCCATTAAAAAGCTAACTCAAAGAACTACAACTTTACTACAACTTTACTTTAGATACCATCTTTCAATTTGATAATTTACCATGTCAAAAGTGGGTTTAAAATTGAGACTGAAAATCCAATGCATAACTTTTCGATTGGAAATTGATTTGTGACCCTATTTTGACGATATTTCATCCATTTGACTTCTTTTTTTATTCAATTGACTTTTAACACTCTCAAATTTTCATTGTGAGGTTCACTATGGCTTTTGATTATTTGCACTTTAATCCTCGAACTTTCGATTTTTTTTATTTTGATCTTTTTCCACTTATTTATTCCAAATTATGCTATATCCATCAAATTGTCACCTAAATCAAAATATGAGATTAATAAATATATTTTGACATAAAATAATCATAAAGCATATTAAATAAAGAGGAAAAACTATGCATTTTGCATTCATATCACATCTTTTAGTTATTTTCATTGTTAAATTTAAAGTTTCATCATGATTTTGTTCATTTTGTTGCTTGTCATAATTGTTGATTTCTTCTCCATTTCCTCTCTTAGTGAAAATATTCCCAACAATCTCAAACGATATTCTGTGCAAAGTAGAGTGAAATCACCATGTCAAAAACAAGAATGACGAATAAAATTTTATGTGGACTGTTTGGAAAGAAATATATTCCTTTGAAGAATGAACGGATTCAATCTGACATCAAGTGTTCGACTTTATCTCCAATTCCGTTTTTGGTAAGTTGAAATTATGTTCAATCTTCACGCAAAATATTAAATCTGATTATATGCATAAAACTGATTAAACATCAGTTTTAAAGTTGGTGCTGATACATGATAATGGAAAATAACTATTTTTTGAGGAGTATATTATTATGATCAAATAATAGCTGTTGATGGAAAAGAATATATGAATGCCTGCATTACTGCAATGTGGAAAAGTGTATTTATGCATAATTTTTGTCCGGATTTGCACATTCTAGTTAGAATATACATGTGAGTAATTGTTTGCCGAAACTGGTAAACATTGACTGTTTATGATTCAGATATTGTGTTTAATAAGCAATGCATTGACTGACTTGTGTCAACATGGAAGATTTGAAAAATGATGAGATTCTGTCCAAATGAAAATTATTATTTAGTAATGTGAATTAAGTTGCTTAAATCACTTGAAAAACTTGAGTAGAATATTAAGAAATATTCTAGAATCTATATAAATGAAATGTCTTATAATCTTTGGTGACATTAAGTGTGGGTTTTATGATCATCAAGAAGATTACCATTTTGCATATGTGTATTATGGTATGTACGTAAATTTTATTCAATAGTTTTACGAGAAATAATTGAATGTTTAGAATTATGAATTCATTTTCATGAATTTTCATCACTATTTATTATATTGGAGTACGAAATTAACATGGTGAATTAGTTGATTGATTTCATGTCTTTTGAGATGATATTAACTTTAGTTAATAATGATAGGCTCAATAAAATGAGATGGTTTATGCAATATATATATGATAGTTGTGATTTGACATGACATTATACCATTCTGTGAAATATCAAAAGATTGATAAATTGCATATATTTGAAGAAATTGCAATTCTTGTGAATGATGATGCTTAGCACTCTTCATTGTACTATATATTACAATGCGTGAAACCAATTAAAATTGGTTTATGATTGAAAATTTTTAGTCGTCTATGAGAAGACCTTGATCAAATTAAATGTAATTCATGTACAATACATTGTGTGCAATTGAAATATATTGAGGATTGACGAAGTACTTAAATTTTCTCGAAACATTTGATATAGACATTATCTATTTGATAATGAAATGAACTATCAAAGAGTTGATAAA